CTGGTGTCTCTACTGACCCGCACAGCGGGGGGCGACCTGCGTCTCCGCCTGTCCCTCGCTTGGGAAGACCTGGAGCAGTCCTTTCCCCTTGCTGTGCCTTGATCTTCTCATCTGTGAAATGGGGATAATGCGGGTACCCACCTCCTAGGCTCACTGAGGATGGAGTGAAGTGACCGTTGGAAAGGGCTTAGTAAACCTGAGCAGGCCACGCAGCGCCCTCTGGAGGCTCCCCAAGCCTCCTGGACCCGGCCACAGGGTGAGGGGACATGACCCAGCTGAACTGTCAGCCCCGGGCTGGTCTCGCCGGGCCTCCTGGGTGAACAGACCCTGCAGGTGCCCACAGCCTGCAGCCAGACCTCCCCTGGCCAGTGAAACCCAGTGGCCTCTTGGGGGCTCAAGGTCATGACCTCTGTCTCGTTAGTGCGGGGGGCTAAGCGGCCAGGCTGACCTGCGGGGACTGAACAGGGGGTCGGCAACCCAGGAGCCCCGAGTTTGCTGGAGGAAGGTGCCGCCGAGCGCTGGGGTGTCCGTGGCCCAGACGTGGTCCAGGCCTGGCCCTGGGGACAGAGCCAGTGTGGGGGAACACCCTGGGAAAGTTGAAGAGGGACCTTGGACAGCATGGAGCCTCCCTTTCCAGATGGCAGGACATGTGGCTGGCCAGGCTGAGCCAGGGCGCCCTGCCCCCTGCCAGTAGCTGCAGCCCATCCTGTGCCCAAGGCCTCTCCTCGGCAGGACCCTGTCACAGAGCCAGGAGGCCCAGCAGACAGGGGTCCCTGGGGCGAGGGGATGGGCTTAAGGGTGACAAGGGAGGGGAGAGCAACTCCCTGGGGTGAGCACTGATCTTGGGGAGACTTCCCCCTCATGGCTGGCCGGCTTTGGGGTGGGGTGTGTTTGCCTGGAAGCCCCCAAAGGGGACCCACACCCGCTGCCTCACAAGAGGGGAATTGAAAGGAAGAGACCGGGAGAGGGCACCCCATCTTGGGGCTGAGAAGCTGCGGGACATGATGGATTGGGTGACCTTGGAGAGCCTCCCAGAGTTCCCACCAAAGGTGTGAAGACAGACGGAGGGTCTGACAGGGGCAGAGGGGACCCAGGGGTGAAGGGCTGCGGGGGAGGGGAGGGGGCCGCACTCAGGGCAGGAGCCAGGGCAGCAGTGTGCACGTGTGTGAATGGGTGTGTGTGCGCGCGTGTGTGTGTGTGCATGTGCATGAGTGTGTGTGCGCGTGTGCACGTGTGTGCATGGGTGTGTGTGCGCGTATGCGCATGTGTGCATGGGTGTGTGTGCGTGTGTGTGCATGTGCATGCGCGTGTGTGCGTGGGTGTGTGTGTGTGTGTGTGTGTGTGTGCGCCCAGCTGGGTTCAGCCCTGGACACTTCCTG